GATCAGGTTATGGGTATACTGTAATTAAACTATTTTTCGAAGAACGAAACAACTGTAATTATCGTCAAATTGCTTTGAACACACGGAGAAACAGTTTGTTTCTTGAAGAGAAATTTACAGTTATTATGACTAGGTAAGGCTGCTAAATAATACTTGATTTTCGGAAAAAAAAATTAGAAGTATTTTTCAGTTAAAAGATGTCTCATAGAATTCTCATATAAAAGGTTTATTTACATCTAAACTTATCTGTTACTATAATAAATGTGTAGAAGAAAAAACTTCGAATTTACAATAAGTGATTATTATTAAAAGCACAAGAAATAAATTATTCATCAATAAGTAACAAAATTTAGGGATGACTTCTACCGTCTAAATATTTAAGACGTAATTTACGGTCTTACCACTAACCAGCTGTTACTACTTCCGTCTAACGCGTGATCTACTTGTATTGACTACTTGTTATTTTGTATGGGTAAACAGATGTGGTATTTAAGATTAATTTGAATAATAATTTATTCTTTTGATTTAACTTGAGAAAATCTTGAACGATTTCATCTGTCTTTGAAGAAAAATGCGACACACTTTAAATCCTGACAAATGAACGATTACTTAGTGCGAAAGAGGAAATTAGGTGAAATCATTGATAACATCAATCTAGGACTGCAAGTAGCAGGATTTTAAATAACATGTAAGTGTTGTTTTTTTACAAATCACTAGATTTTTAACATTACAATTTTCAGTACCGTAAAGTTGTTAATAAAATTAAATAAAAGAATAAGTGATAAATTCTTTGATAGACGAATTAATCAAAGCAGTTACTTCTTGTCTGATACTAATTCCTGAAGCAATTAAATAAAGAAGAAAATATCGATATATTCACTTAGTTTGAAAATGTAGACACACCTATATATATGGCTGTATTATTGCTAACCAATGATATAAATTTATTAAAATTTCAACTCGAAGTCAGCTATAAAATTGTTTGTTTTAATTACTTGTGTGAATTTCAATCGTTGTAAAGTATACATTTTTTATATATTTTTCGAAGGTAAGATTGCCTCGATTTCATTGCATTATTTATAAACGAAAATCCCATTTTTCACCAGCATTCACTCAACCCAGTTGTTAGTGAATGAAACGAAAAATATATGAAATGTTGCGTATGAGCGAGAGTACAAGTGCACAGACGGCAAGATCAGATAAACACAGGTGCATAAGCAAAGACTCGTGAATTTCCGGTCCATTGCTGCTAACAATAAATAGACAGAGTGGCCAGACAACTTTTTATATTAAATGCACGCATTATATGTATATTTCTCGTACATTGGCCAAGAAGAGGCCACTTTGCACTTTTTCGAGTATTTTAAGCTACGGTTTGCAGTGAACAGAAAATAGCTAATGATTTTATTTTTTGTGCAGTGAGACAGCCCGATATTTAATCTTTGGATGCATGAAAAGGCCTCGCCTAGAAAAACGAGGTACTGTAAAGAGAGATTACACGGCCATTCGTTTTGCTTTCGTTTTCTTGTCTGCGTGTGTGAGTGCGTACTCTTAGACATACCGGTAATACTGCTCGGGGAAAGAAAAAAAAAAAATGATAAAAAATTCTGCTCACGGAGCACGTGTGTATCGAATGCTGTCGTTCCTCAGGCGTTTTGTCGAAAGTTCGGTGCTTTATGCAAGAGATAATTTATTTTAAAAAACAGCCATGGCCTTGAATAATTTTGCTTAAAAAAAAAGATTCGTATCTTTTACGTGGTAAATGAAAAGATGCAGCATCGCATGACAAAGTTTGAGTAAATTTTTCTCAAAGTGAAAGCGTTTTTTTAAATAATATCGTCACCAAGTGCTTTAAACTTTCATTTAACGAAGAACATATTGTATTGCCGATGTATCCTTGAAAACATTACGTATTGTACGTATTTTACCTGCTTTAAGAACAATATAAAAAAAAAAATTTTAAGTAGATTGTTCATTTTTTTATGGTTTAAAAGTTCTTTAAATCATAAACTGATTAAAAAGTACACGATAATCTTGAAAATAAATTAAAAACAAGCATAATCTAAACGAAAAAGATTATAACATACCTTTACAGATGTAGAAAAAGCTATTGAAAAAACGAATTGTTTGTGTATGCTCTCTATTTTTACTTCAAAAACGTATCGTTTTAATTTTTGGTTGAGAATTTGTTTTATTTATGTTATCAGTACAAAGAAGACAAGCGATATTTTAACAATGAATAACTGACCTTTGAAAAAGGTTAAATTATTATTTTCTAAACTTGTTTTTGAAACTCACATAATTTTTAAAGCTTCATAATTTGGTCTCTAATAAATTTATGTATGAGAAAAATCAACACGTTTTTCAACTGATTGGATTACAACTGCTGAAGAGGAATAGAAATGGATTTTCTAATTCGTTTTTGTTTATACCCATCATAAAAATAATAGATAACAAATTTCTAAACATACTTCAAACACCTCAGTGGAAATATCAAAGAGAAACAGAACGAATTTTTCTAATGTTAGTCTATTGAAAAAAAACCGGTCAACTCTCTGCAAAAAAATCCTTTAGGACTCGAAATGGTATCCATCCGACCATGCAGTTTCAACAACCCAGATTTTTCAATCTAAAATTACCTAAAGTCACTATCAAAAATCATTCGTAAACTATCATGGAATCCTTCAAAACTCAAAATCGCAGATAAAAAAAAATCTAGTCGCCGCTCCACGAAAATTCATTAAGAGTCACACCGTTCAGTCTGTGCAGCCCAGCGGGATCAAGAGGCCCAATCATCCTCCTTCTTCCTAACCCTCTGGAATTTGAATGCACACGCACGCAAACTGCATGCATACTCACCCAAGTATGCTCGTATACTTACTCTTATTGCCTTTGGATAAACTGCAGCGAAGATGAGTGCGCAAAAGAAAGACGGAGAGAGAGAGAGAAGAGTAAAAAAAAGGAAAGGAGTCATCATATGTACACACACACACACAACCTGCGGCGCTGTACAGGTGTTACACCGCCGCTGCAGAGTAAATCATTGAGAAGACCCATAAGGCCCTCGGGACACCTATACACCGGCTGCTTACCCCTTCTCTCTCTTATCGCCTGCGTTCTTCAACTCTCGTAATATCGGCGAGTTTATACAGCTTTCCCTACAGATATCTCTTTTGAATACGCGCTCACACACACACACACACGTACACATCCCAGTGGCGTGCATACATGCATAATCGCATTCATTTTCTCTCTGCGTCCCGGCAAGGCCTCGCGATCCTTTCTCTCGCTCGCTCGGCTCCGTAATAAGCCATACCTACACACAAACACACACATATACAAAACCGATTCCTCTCTCTCTCTCTCTCTGTCTTTTCTCGCTGCCGCGTTCCCCTTTCTCGAGTAGTAGGCAGGTAGGTAGGTGTATATCTCCTCCTGCGGCTCCCTCCGCGCGTATACCGGTCCCCGCTGCCTCGGCGCGAGAGATTCTCAAGCATCGGCAGCAACTTTGGGTCCCCACCCGAGTAGCTCCTCGGCCGATATCGTACTACGCGGCCGCCTCGGCTCTACTGCACGCGCTCCGTGGAAAACAGTTACGGACGAGCTCCTCACGCTCCGGGACACTTATATTCTCTCCGCGGCTCCTTCGAGTGTGCTATTTCGTTCCTTCCTTCCTTCCTTCCTTCCTTCCTTCCTCTCTCTTTTTCTCTCTATCTCTATCTCTTTTTGTCCGTGGGTGTGTGTCAGTGTCTCCGAGTTAAACACCATTCGGTATACATTCGTTGTATCACATACGTGCTGCAGTACAGAGTGCGCGTCGCGCCGAGGCGCATTCCATACATATATATATAGGATACAAGCATATGTGCGATCGGCCTGCTCGTCGATCTGGTCGCCTAAGTATACCGATCGTCGTTGTTGATTTTTTGTTTTGTTTTGTGAAGATTCGACGTGATAATATTTAGTACTCGCTCTACCCTTGAGTTGGCTCAATAACCGGCGTGAAACGAGTGCCAAAGTACATGCACGTGAGAGGACGCGTTGCAGCTGCCAATTATCCCATTCGCCGGGGAAACGGAGTAAAGTTGGAAGCTCCGCTCTTGGGACGTAAGTGCAATATTCCATCGCTCCCCTCCCCCCCGTTATCGTTGGCGTGCATGCCTGGCGCCGGCAGTAAACCGAGCCCTTTAAGGGCAGTATACTTAAGGAGGTGTGTTGTATGTACACGTATACTCGCGCGTGATGTGCACCTGTTGGCGTGACGTTGCCTTGGTGATGGTGAGAGAGATATTAGGCTCAGCTGGTGGTGCCATATAAACAGGTGTGTATTTCCAGTGCGTTAATCCCAAAGTTGCATTGGAATTTGAAAAGTAGGCGTGCGGGATGTGCTTTAGGGTTTCGAAGGTAGAGGTTTAGGATGCCCGTGTTTTGATCTGTTGTAAGAACTGTCGAGGAAGTCAGATTTTTTTGTCAAATCTTTAATAAATTTCGAGGTAGGAATGATCGAACTGATGGGTAGATAAAGTTTGTAAATACCTTACATTAATGAGTTTATTGCTTTGTGGTGTGAGCACTCGCGGAAATATTTTTATGGAGAAATACCAAGTAAATGATGTTTGGTTCGACTGTTAAGATATGTAGAGATTCCTCGGCAATAATATAGCTGGATAACGGAGTAAGGTTAAATTTTATGTACAGTAAAATTCAAACGGTTCGAGCGATTGTGAGGAAGATGAATCAATATTAGCATGAAAAGCAAAGAGGAACGATATAAATTCCAAGGGAGCATGTTTATCCCCAACTTTCTACTTACTTCGCATTAACAAATGCCCAAAGTATAATAGTCCATAAAAGTTTATTAACGTGACCGGCGTTTGCTTGCTTTGTAAAATGAACTCCACGACGGAAGAGATATGGACGTAAATTTCAATCGAGTTCTCGAAAGTTCTCAGCAGAGCCTTCCCTGATCCTTGGAATCTTAAAAAGAAGACTCGGCCCATATCAACGTGGGCTCGCTGTTGCTGAAAACTTTGTTGCTCAAGAGCTGGTTACGATAGATGACCCTCTCGTGTTCTTTCTCGTGCGCAGTATATTTTTGTTCGTGATTGTTCAAGTTTGTCTTTACAGCTGATTCCCTCTGAAAGAAAAAAATATACTAGTACCTGCTTTGATTGGGCACTGATTGTTTTTTGCGAGAGAGGAGCATTAGGTATTTACTTTGTAGGTACTCTAGAGCTAAAAAAATCGTGACAAATTATAATAACATCGCATGACAAAGTTTGAGTAAATTTTTCTCAAAGTGAAAGCGTTTTTTTAAATAATATCAACGAAAAATATGTGTACAAGGTTTCACTTTGTATAATTTCTTGATTATTTTTGTACTACATAATTTAATATTATCTGAAAATATACTTGTAAGAAAGTTTCTGTAAAGTTGCACATCTTGTAAAATTTTGTTCTCTTCGCAACGCAAGAGAAATACAAAAGAAAAAATATGCGATATCACAAACGTTAAGATTGTTAGGTGAATGATTATACGTGTTCAGAAACCCATGATAAAAAATATGATTTAATTGCAGATATCACATGGGAACAGTTGCTTATGGATCTTCTCCTTGTGTTATAATTATAGTGATATTTATTATGATTAAAAACTTAAGCAATCGAATGTACGAGTTCCGCCACAACATCTTTGTTATGATTGTATGCTGGTGGTATATATTTACAAGACTATTTGAAGTCAGCATTGGCGTAACTGCTATTCATGGACAGAGCTTTAAAAAATCTGCAGACACAGTTAGTCAGCTGTACTTACGATTCCCTCTACGCTTCTTTTCTGTAACCAAGGTAATAATAAGATATTTCCTTAAAAGAATTCATTTAATCATCAGTTTTTTACATTTTTAGGCATTTACATGGTGTGCCGGAGTTTTGTCTACTGTTTCTTCTTTGGTTGTTATAATCGCATGTGTGGTTGCTTTCTACTCAGAAAATATGTCAAATGAAAAGATGATAGTAGCTCTTTCAACTACTCTGATTTGCATTATTTTGGTCGTTTTACCTATTGTAATAGTCCTTAATGCAGCAGTAACGTCAACTTTTTTCTGCATATTGGAAGATTTCGAACTGGATCAAGAAGATAAAAATAGAACATGCTTCATGAAAGCAAGTATTAAGGATCTAATGTTGAATTCTGAATAAGAATTATGATAGGATTCTAATGGTCTTAGCATACGTTATAATTTAATAATTAAGTTTCTTACAACTGCTGATGCCAGTCAAGTATGTTTAGGGGAATTATCATGATGACTCCGTAATAATGTAAACTTACAGTAAAGTTTGAGATCAAATCGAGGTACGTTTAATATTTGTTATAGTTTAAATTAACACTAAAAAGTAAATCTTAGCATCTCAGACAGTTATCCAAAAAAAAATTCACTAACAATATTATAATAAAAAAAANATAAGAAGCTTTCACTAATTTTTTTACTAGTTTAAGAAAAACAGAGTATATCAAACTCATTTTTATTTAAAAAATAAATCATAAAAAAAGATTTTATTGTTAAAAAAAATGTGTTAGTCTACATAAAAGTATTATGACTATTTTTTTATGCAATCAGAGTTTTGCAAGACTAGGGAAACTTCGTTGGAACGATATTATACTCAATTGACTTCAGTAATACCGTGTGATATTCTATATTAAAAAGTCGTTCGAAAATCGTACTTCACTAGTTATTGATATAATACTTATAATTTTTCCAATCGTAAATAATTTACAAATGGTTGTATTGTTAAATTATAAGATCACATTAATTAAAAAGACAAATGTGTGTTAATGAAGAAGAAATTTTTTTAATGTTTTTGTTGAGAGAATGTGTTTCATAAATATATAAATACAATTATTTAATATAAACTATTGTGAAAAGATTGGCAGCATAGCAGCGAGAAGTTGGTTGTATGAAAATGAGTCACTGAAAAAAAGTACGATGGAAACAATCATTATTTTATAAGATAACTTATTATCTTAATCAATATTTTTGTTAATAACAGTTATGAATTAACGTTTTTTCATCATAAAACAGCTTACGGAAAAAAATGTAATAAAATGACCATTGAGTAGCACAACTACAGAAAAAAGCATCAACTGTATTTTTTCAACAAAATATAAAACTATGAGAATATATAACTACATGAATAACTTAACTTTCATTTGTTTTATTCAAGTCTGGATCATAAAAATATACATCTGTCAGCACTAAAGTACAATTTTTTTACCGAGATGATGAAGCATAAAAATTGATTTACTGGTTAGAGTTATAAGCCTCTAATACTTTCTTGATCCTTGTGTTCTAAATAATAGAGCATATAAAGTTAACAATAAATATTTTGGCTGTACCCATAACGGATGTGTTTAAATAGTTGAAATAATTTTATATTTTAAGTTGTTCGCTTATACGAAGACGATGTGTAATTGATTGTAACTTGATTATTATCAAAAAATGGCATTTTGTGTACAAATTAAATATTGCTAGTATTATATTTGATGTAATCTATAACACTCAATAAATAAAACGATAATCAATGAACAGAGAATGGTATCTTTACAAATTTAATAAAAATTGTCCTATGAATAGTTATCAAACAAATCTCATAAGTGTAACATAGATAATCGAGTAAATGAATGATTAATCTAACATTCAAGCTTATTTTTTTTATCTTATCGTGAAATGAAATGTCTATCAAATATTCACTTTATTCATGTACAAAAAACAGCAATATAACGAAGATACATAAAAATTTGGACTTACTAATGGCGAGTGATATTTGTATTACCATTTAAATAATTTTAAAAGAAGCCTTTACAGTGCTCATTATCGCCTGAATAATTTCAATACAATTTTATTGGACCTACGTTGAAACTATGGGGGCTTAAAAAAAATTTTAGGCTATTGAATTTATTCTGAATGCATTGAAATAAAGACTGCAGTGTTGAGAAAACAAGAAAAAAATGTGGTCTAAACTTTAAATAAAAGAGGAGGAAACAGTAAAAGGTGTGATAATCTGAAAAAGAGAGAAAAAGGAAGGGGAAAAATGTAAGCGGCATATAAACCATCGTAGTCGGAAAAGCATAACGGAAACTGCATACTTGTCGCCGTCTCTTTTGCAATACATGGCAGCAGAGTTAGAAATACATGAAAATATGCATCTCACATTCAGTTGTAAGGTTTGATTTTGTGGTGCTAACAAAAACCTACCAAGAACTTTTTTACGAATAAGAATTTAAAATCTACTCAATAGACTTGGAGCAATTTTCTCTGATTTCGTCGAGAAATTCTCCTTCTCATTTTGTGGTCGCCTTGATATCGCTAAATAAGATAATAAGTTAATTTTATATGAAATATGTTAGCTTTGATGTGCCTCTAAAACAAATTGCTTTGTTAGTATGTATTTTAAAAGCGATGAATAATAATTGTTGAAATAGATGCAGATAAATATTGTGATTGTGCAATGATTTTGAATGTTTATCCTTTAGTCTGGATGACCCTCTAAATGTTACTATTATTAACTCAACATTTATTCAAAAGACAAATTCTTTATTAAAGATTACATGTATGCGTAAGTTTATTTTTTGTGATTAAACTATTCTTGAAACATGCATACCATAAATTTCACTAATTCAAACAATGATTTTTGATAATTTGCAAAGATGGCTATTCTAAAAAGGTTCCATGTACTTTTGTTAGTATACAAAAAAATTGTAATCTCAAATTAGGTCAAGAGTCGTTTTTTTTACCTAACGTACTCTCGTCTAGTAAGCCATGAGAGAACCTTATTTTTTGGTAAATATGTGGAAAAAGTTGGCTAGTAGAAAAAAAAGAAAGAAAAAAAAGATGCCTAGAACATTTGCGTACAATGAAACAGAAAAAAAGAAGGGAAAAAACTGAGAGTGACGTGAGAGGAGATCCAAGAGATATTGCTTACAAAGAAACGAAACGAACTTTTTTAGATAACAGGGAAATGATCCAAACATAAACATAAGCATCGACGGGAGGAAAGACAGAGATGCTTGGTAAGTGTAGATATAGTGGCACTACAAGAGAAACAAGTAAGAGACCAACGAGCCAATTGATGCGTGCTGTGCTAATGGATGAGCTACTCGAAAGGAATGGACGTTGGTAGTGAGTGTTCTGTGCAGAAACAGACTGTATAAGTGTACGATAACTTTTTGTAAAGATAGAAAGACGGAAGTGATTATTTGAAACAAAGAAAGAGGAATCGAGATATGTATGAGTTCGGCGTAGGAATTTGAAACTTTTGTGATTCATGCATCCTCGCTGATTTGGACTTATGATTCTGCATGGAATTTTCTTTACCCAAGTAAACGTATGTTTGTGATCTATTACATTTTTTAAGCATTGCCAATAAAATTAAATTGGATGCAACATTAGTGCTGTCTTATAAAAAAAAAAAAAAAAATGTGATTTCAAGAGCCCTGTCATTAAATTTTAAAAAAAGTTGTTGAATCATCGAAAAATCATTGAAGATTCTATAAAATAATAAATAAATATCAACATTTTAAAGTACCTATTGAAGGATGCATCATAAAAATACAGTAAGTATGGTATATTACAGTAATTTTTTCACCGGTCGCGTTGCAATACTCGACGGAATGAGACTCCACGCATCAGGAAGAAAAAAAAAAAAAACAATATCCAGCGACATGTCGTGGGACTAATTTGATTATCTGAGCTAAGCTGGACGCTACTAGAGCTTCTTTGCCTCACCTTTTTCACGGCGAACGTCTGCAAATTCACGATGCAGCCATTGACATTGGCTAAGGTCGTGGCATTTGAAAAAATGTGCACTGTTGAAACGAAAGCTGCTACTTTCCACTTTTGAATCACTTATTCTTATAAATCATTTTAATAGTTTTGCACAAATAAAATGTTCGTGAAAATTATTATCCTTTAACTACATGGATTAGTCAAATACAAATTTAAAAACAAAGGGCTATATCGTCTGATTTAAGTTAAAAAAAATAAATAAAAATGAAGTAAATTCAGTAAACTCAGTACTAACTAGTTAATTTATGAGTGACTTGCTGAAGATAAATAATTAATTACGATTATCAGGAGGGTTCCATAAAAAAGTGGTCAAAGTAATTATTTCTCATCAGGGAATTTTTTTTAGATGAGCTCATTATTCTGAATCCACATCAAAAAAACTAATATGGTTTAGGCATCAATTACTCAAGCAATCAAATTTAAACAATTGTATAGACTGCGGGAAAAAATCTATTTGACTTGGGTTCATTGCTGCCATAAAATTTATCGCTGGTCAACTATTTGTTTTAGGTTACATGCATACTTTCAAAATATAGGTAATGATAAATGAAGTATAAAAGCTTTTGAGAATATCCATTCGTAGATTTATTGAATCGATTGGATTTTTTCTTCTATGAACAGTGATCTAGGTCCGTGGAGTTTTCATTGTTTGGCAAATTTTTACTTCTTAACACGATCTATGATGTTGATGGCCTAACTTTTCAGTAATTATTTTTTGCTAACAAATTCTGATAACAAATGGAAAAAAAAATTTTTTTTTTTTTTTAAATTATTTCTTGGCACATTTTTGAATGAACAACTAATCGAGATGTGTTTTTTACTTTCAACTCCTGATTTGGTCGTAAAAAATTCTTTACGATTCGAAGAATTTATTTTTTGTTATTTTTAACCTTATATACCTCAGTCATTACTAAATTATTTTCAATCCATGTGGGCTTACTATGTACTTTTAGATAAAAAAATAATAATGATGGCTCATAGCCACGCAGCTACAATATTGTTTAGCAAAGCATAATAATATTTATATCTTATTACACCTTATATCTATGAACGCTTCGACTTATATTATAGGCGTAAGTCTATATGCATGGCACGTACAGGTAATAAAAATGACTATGCGTTGATCGATAGTATTGAAGCTGCGTGGCCATGAGCTATCATAATTCTTTTTTTATCTGAAAGTACATACTGTATACAGGTGGATAAAATTGAGCAATATGCGGTTAAAAATTACAAAAAAGCATTAAAATTTATTGTTCAAAATAAATTATTCAAAAACTAAGGCAATCGCCATTGCGTGTTGTGTTCAGGAGTTAAAAATGTATTAAATGAAAAAAATTCTACTATATTAGATCGGCCATGAACACATAAGAGCAAACCCTAAATTACTGTATTACTACTTCTTAATTTTTCGTAGAAACAAGTTTAAAATACCCTCTTATACATTATTGTATACCTACATTACTCTTCTAATATTTTCTGATACTGATACTCGAACTTCGATGTTATTTAGGATAATATTTAATACATCATGTAGTTTTATGGTCACGATAACATCAATTGATACGCATTGTCTGTTTTGCAGGTACCTGTGCATGCCGGAAAATCAGGACCCGC